AAAAAAAAAAAAAAAAAAAGGTTCATGTTCTGTTCAGTTCGTCAAATCTTCACACACTTCTCTCTCCTGCACAGAATATGTGTGTTGGCTTCATTCCAGATGAAACCATATGGAGGTCTTCACACACTCACACTCTCTCACACACACACACACGTCTGGTTTGCTATCCTTGTGGGGACTCTCCATAGGCGTAATGGACAGGAATCAAAATGATGCAGCCATAAATTGCATTTTTGCCATTATCAAATCTCATAATGGATTCAGTACTGCTGATTCAATAAAGAAAATAAATCAGAGCAGGTAAGTATAGATATACTTTAATATAATTTTATATTCTCATCCAGTCGAAAATACAACTTTTGAATGAAAGGCACAGTACGACCAGACTTTTCCTTAGTCTAAAAAAAAAAAAACAAATACAGAAAGCAGACTTTGCTTACAGAATAAATCATATTTTAACAGAAACAGGGGATTGGAAAAAGTTGGAATGTCTACAAATCAATATGAAATAGAAATTTTTAAAGCGATAATTCATTAGGCTCAATCAACTCCTAATATTGCTTATTACAAACATGGAAAGTGGCACACGAGTAACATTGTTAGGGGGAAAAGAAGAACATTAATATATGCACACAAAATATTTAAGGACACAAAATTGATGAGGGCAAATATTAAAGGGTCTATAATGAGAAAACTATGATCTGACAATGTAGTGCAACTTGTCTCTGTAAACAATGCAAGTGCAAGTGAAGGAGACGGTATGTCATGGTTGCCGGCATATGAGAAATTAAAATTGCATTGGTCCAAAAAAACAACAACAACACTAACAGGCTCATGAAGACAGAAACAGGAAAAATAAGCGCTTTATTGTGGTTTCCCTTTTGAACAATCTTGGTCAAAGCATTGCTAAAGAACAAAATGAACCACACAATGGTGGTGATATTCTTTGGTATTTTTATTCTTGCATACTTAGTTGTTTCAAATCCATTTTGTTCTCCTTTTTGTATTTTCATTTCAGGGTTGTTTTTTTAAGTCAAGTCGTCCAACTATCCATCACTGGCACTGACTGCCACTTTTACAAAAAGCATCGACGTCTCACCAAAATGGTTCATTGTAACAGGAAACAATTGATCAAATTTCCCTTCGATAAGAGGCATAATTTGACCAAGCATACTTACAAATTCAGTTAAGACTTCACTTCCCGTAGCAAAGAAACCAGGTGGTTAATTGAATATATAGAGGCTAAAATAAAACACAAATGGATGAATCTCAAAGCTTGTCAAGAACATGTCCTAGTGATATTTCACCCAAAAATCCCATTTTGCTTAAAGAAAATGTATACCGTTTTAAATTTATATTTTCAAAATTAGTTATACTGCTTTAAATTAATGTGGACTTAAAATCTTTTAAACAGCATTTTACTCTTTTGTTTTACAAAACAAAACAAAAAACACCAAATTTTACAAAAACAAAACAGAATAAAAAACAAAACTAAAACAAGAAACAAAAAACACAACAAAACTAAAAAAACAAAACAAAACATAAAACTAAGCAAAAAAACAACAACAAAAAAACAACAGAACAGAGAACACAGAAGATAAAAAAACTGAAATAAAACAAAACACACAACAACAAGAAAAACAAAAATCTTAAACATCTTGGCATTATAATGTGCAAAACACAAACAAACACACACCCAATGGAAAAAATGCTTCTAAAATATAATGATATTCCGGGCCAAAACAGGAATACATTATATTCAAAATCTTTTTTGTTTGTTTGTTTGTTTTATTTTGGATTAAAACATGACCTGGACATGTTTTTGTTAAGATTCACCCAAACATAAACAAAGCTCCCTGTGTCACTTCAGTTATAACCCCTGCTCACGGTGCACCTACAGCACCCAATTTCTTAATTAATTAGAAACCGTATTACAGGATCCTGATCAGAACCTGTAATAGCAGCAAGGGTATTCACTGAAACATCAGATATTACAATCAACTTTCACACACACAAACACAAGTGTGATCACAGCAGTTTGAGCCTGTATTCTGCTGATTTTCACATGACCCTTTAATCCATGCTCATGTGCAAACTTCTTTAATTAGCCCCGAATAGGACTGGAGCCAATGTTGGCATGATTGATAGAGGCAACGAAATAGCGACTCCCTTGAAGGTGAACGAATGTGTTCCAGAATCTGGTAGCACATTTGTAAAAGTACTTCAGAGGTCTTTTTTGAGTGGGGGTGGGGGTGGGGGGCACAGAACGTCCCCTGTTCTGGACACTACCTGTTAGTATTGCTCAGCTGTGTGAGTTGTGTCAGGAACTCCCGCAATTCTTTAGCTGCCTGGAAGCGACCGTACTGTTTCTGAGGCCGGGTGCACTCGTCCAGCAGGGCCGTGAGGCGGCCGTCTTTGACCACATCGGCAGGGGGGTCGTGGAGGAGACCGCCCGTGGTACCACGCCAGGTGGCGAATCTGGAGAGCAGGTTCTGACAGATAGCGTAGTAGTTGTGGTCCACGGTGACTCGAGAGCAGAGGATGTCCTTGGAGAAGGAGAGACAGGCCTCTTTGTCGCATTCCTCGTAGCGGCTCTCGTACCACACGTCATAGTTCTCTGGTTTATCTGAGTGGATTACAGAAAATACAAATATAATATCTGCCAAAACAATACAAGAGAAGAAACCTCAAAATCAACATGAAACTGCATTTCCATCTCATGTTTCTGGGTGAAAATGGATAATACTGAAGGCTGAAGTTAGGACCCTGTAACTCCAATTTACAGTATAACACACAATGTCATTGAATTTAGCAAATTTTAGATGAATAAGTCAAAAGTAGGGCTTTTATGCTTAATTCACGATGTGGACTTGTGTTTATGAATATTAAAGTGCAAAAAGACAGCTATTTAAATATTAAGTCTGCTTTTTTTTGTGTGATTGAGCAGCGCAGTTTCGTCTGCTACACAAACTCAAGCGATGCTTGTGGTGTTTTCAGCGTCTGCCATCTCACTGAACCTTTTCATTTGATAAAATCATTTTCATGTCACATTGAGTAGATACAGACGCTCAAAGGTCTTCATGGCAACACATCAAAAAAGTTAGGTTTAATTAGTTTATTTAGTTTAGTATAAACTATGGAAGCCCGTTTCTGCCACTGAATAAAAAATAAAAAAGGTAATTGCGACTTTTTTATCTCACAATTCTGACTTTTTTTCTCATAAGCGTGTGATACAAACTTGCAATTCTGACTTTTTTCTCAGAATTGCGTGATATAAACTCGCAATTCTGAGAAAAAACAGTCACTTGCAAGACATAAACTCGCAATTGCGAGAAAAAAAGTCAGAATAGCGAGTTTTTAATCTCGCAATTGTGGCTTTATATCTCGCAATTCTTACTTTATAACTCGCAATTGCGAGTTTATATCTCAATTCTGTGAAAAAAAGTCAGAATTGTGAGATAAAAAGTCGCAATAACCTTTTTTATTTTTATTCAGTGGCGGAAACGGGCTTCCATAATAAACAGAGTACGTGCAATCACGAATCTCAAAAGTGAAAGTGAAACTAAAAAGCGATGCATTCAAAAGCAGTTTCAATGGCAGGTATAATAGCGGCTCCCTGATGCCCGCAGTTTATATACAGTATAATTACCCAATGATATAACTGCGAGAGAAAGTATTGAAATATTTTATATTTATTCCGTATACACGTAATTTTCTTTCCAAACACGGTATTGGGATGCGGCCGGATTGCGGGGGGTATGGAGGGGAGGGATAACGATGCTGGCTCAACATCGTGATGTCAATCAGCCATTGGCGATGGACGATGGCATCATCTATCGGCCCAACCCTACTAAACAAGCAATTTTTGTTAAACATGTAACAAAGTGTTGTTAAACTGTGTTTTTATAAACTTTTAATGAGATGTTTTAATTACCTTTTAATGAAGTGTTGTTAAACGTTTCATGACTCGAATTTTGATTACAAAAATTTCATTTAACAATTCAAATGGAATCCAAAAAAAAAAAACACTCGTTTCATAGGGCCCTCTGAAGTGGGGCTAGAGCAGAATGAGAGTTTTCAGTGTTTTATAACACTGATGGTGTCATAAAGAGTTAGGACCAGTGTACAGCACCATTCGGATTGGACCCCAGGGGGCAGCCGCTCGTAACAGCTAATCAAGAGCTGTTATTGCAATATCTTGTTGTAGTTAATCAAAACAGCCTAACACCTGTTATCGTTTTGTAGCTGTGGTAGCTTGATGTAGCATGTAGGGCAGACAAAGTATACTTTATGCTTCAGCAGAAACCATTAAAGGGTTACAAAAGCTTTCCACTCAAAGAATCCAAAACTAATACTAATAATAACAAGAAATGTTATTTGAGCACTAAATCAGCATATTGATTGATGAATCATGTGACACTGAAGACTGGAGTGATGGCTGCTGAAAATTCAGCTTTGTCATTACTGAAAAAAATAAATAAAATCGTAAAATATATTACAAAAGAAAACAGATTTTTTAAATTGCTGTATTTCGATCAAATAAACGCAGACTTGGTCAACATATATAGTTCGTTTAAAAATAGGAAAAACCGTAATGATAATGATAACAATAACGGTAGTGTGCGAATGATTTAGGATTTCCAATCAGGCACTGAACTGAGTACTTTTTTAGTCAAACTGTTTTGGGGTCCTAGAGAGACTGAACTCAGCAACTGGGCTGAACATTTCATCTATTTCTTATTGTATGTAGTAGCAAGTAGTTTGCAGTAGATTCCATTACAATGTTAACTGGCATTTAATTACTCTTAATTGTTAAATAAAACATAGAAAAGGTTGCGTTATCTAAAACATTAGTCTAAAACAATGCCTAAATAACTATTTGGCTATTGGTCAAAAAATAAGACCAGGAACATGTATTAAGAGAAAAACTAGGGCCCATTTCACGTTAACATTCAACACAAGTTCACTATCCTTTGCAGAAGCAATGATTGAACTTCTTGTCAAGTTCTCCTCTGTGTTTCACAACATGCCTAGTTTCAGTCAGCTGACTTTTATTCAATACGGCCTAATCCTTATTCCACTGGCTCTTCCTTTTAAAAACAACTTGCTGTTAGATTCTGTATACCAGACAACATAAAAAGCTCTTTATCATTGCACATCGCTTTCTTGTAGCATTTCAATCTTCTTCCAAAAGCACAACCTACACTAAAATGGAACAACGATCTGCAGAATAAAGACACTGACTTGATTCAGCTCTTCACTGTGAGAAGACAAATAAGAAATTCTTCTGAAAGCAAGTGCAGTTCTTCTCTAGCCACCCATTTTAATGCTGAACAAATCAATAAAGCCGAGGATCCTGCAGAAATAGACCGGGCTCTGACATCTACTCATCAGCAAAACTATATTGAGTCATAAAGCGCCTTAAAGAGTTGGGGAACTGCTGTCTTGGCCATTTGACACAGCTCAATATCACGCCAATAACTAATTAGAGAAAATGAAGTCACCGTGCTGCCAATCACTCTCGTGGGAGCCAATTATGAGATCCAGAGGAGGTAATGTGCCACAGCCAATCAGAGCACACGCTGGCTTCGGTGCCTTTCTCTTTTGCTGTGTGTGCTGAGAATCACATCCAGAGGTTTATGGAGGAACGGCACAAAATATTGTTCCAGAACTGATGGAAATCTTAAATTAAAGGGACAGTTCATCATTTATTCACCTGCCACTTTGTGGATTCATATTCACCTCCACGGGGAAGTCGTGGCCTAATGGTTAGAAAGTCGGACTCGTAACCCAAAGGTTGCGGGTTCGAGTCTCGTACCGGCAGGGATTGTAGGTGGGGGGAGTGAATGTACAGCGCTCTCTCCCACCTTCAATACCATGACTGAAGTGACCTTGAGCAAGGCACCCCAACTGCTCCCCGGGTGCCGCAGCAAAAAATGGCTGCCCACTGCTCCGGGTGTGTGTTCACGGTGTGTGTGTGTGTTCACTGCTGTGTGTGTGCACTTTGGATGGGATAAATGCAGAGCACTAATTCCGAGTATGGGTCACCATACTTGGCCACATGTCACTTCACTCACTCACTCACTCACTCACTCCTATGGAATACAAAAGAACTTTCAACAGATGAAACAATCTTCATAATATCTTTCTTTGTGTTTCGCAGAAGAAATTTTCAAAACAAAAATAACGACTTTTTTCAACAATTCGTCTCCTCCACGTTACCCTATAGCGCCATTTTGGAGAGTTTCACATACATAATGTATGCAACGTATGTACGCGGATACGCGGTTTACGTTGTTTACACTTTGATCTGAACGTTAACAATGTATCCGCGTACCGTACATACGTTGCATACATTGTTTACGTATGTGATACTCTCTAAAATGGCGCTATAGGGTGACGCGGAGGAGACAAATTGTTGAATAAAGTCATTATTTTTGTTTTCTTTGTGCACAAAAAGTATTCTTGTAGCTTCGTAAAATTACGGTTGAACCACTGATGTCACCATACTTGGCCACATGTCACTTCACTCACTCACTCACTCACTCACTCATATGGAATACCAAAGAACTTTCAACAGATGAAACAATCTTCATAATATCTTTCTTTGTGTTTCGCAGAAGAAATTCTTTCAAAACAAAAATAACGACTTTTTTCAACAATTCGTCTCCTCCACGTTACCCTATAGCGCCATTTTGGAGAGTTTCACATACATAATGTATGCAACGTATGTACGCGGATACGCGGTTTACGTTGTTTACACTTTGATCTGAACGTTAACAATGTATCCGCGTACCGTACATACGTTGCATACATTGTTTACGTATGTGATACTCTCTAAAATGGCGCTATAGGGTGACGCGGAGGAGACAAATTGTTGAATAAAGTCATTATTTTTGTTTTCTTTGTGCACAAAAAGTATTCTTGTAGCTTCGTAAAATTACGGTTGAACCACTGATGTCACATGGATTATTTTAACAATCTCCTTGCTACGTTTCTGAGCCTTGATCGTGTAAGGATCCTTGCTGTCTATGGGAGGGTCAGAGAGCTCACGGAATTCATCAAAACTATCTTAATTTGTGTTCCGAAGATGAACAAAAGGTCTTATGGGTTTGGAACGACATGAGGGTGAGTAATTAATAACATAATTTTCATTTTTGGGTGAACTATCCCTTTAACGAATTAAATCTTATTATAGAAAGTGTTACCATTAAATGTTATTAAATCAACAAAAATTGCCAACAGATATTCGCAATAACAAACCAGCTCCTGTGAATAGAAATCATTTCTGAATCCATGAATGCCAATCCTTAAAAGGTTCACATTTTTAATTAATGCACTGAGATATTATAAGCAGAATTAATTAAATTTAAAAGATGAATAAAAGCCTATCTATCCAATGCCCTCTGCAAAAAGACTTCCAACCTTGATGCCCACATGTTCAGTGAAGTGGTTTGACATCATAAGCACACATCAATTCAGAATAGAAACGCAATAAAAAAAGCTTGTGTTATCTAACATTTCAGAAAGACCCATCTGCAAGCAAAGACGCACATACGAGCTCCATTCAGATAAACGCTGGCAGGCTGAAGCAAATAGCCATTGTTATGTAGCACACATGCTCCAAGATCATCCGCCAGCCCAGTCTGGCCTCTCTGGATGGCAAATCCACTGGCACGAATTGTTGGTCCAGCACTGCACCCATCCATGCCAACTCACTACCGTCCAGAATCAAAAGTGCAGCTTTGGGCCACGTTCATCTGTTGCAAAGCAAACACTTTGATAGCAATGCTTACTTAAATGTGAAACTGGAATTTAAATCCCATGCATTATCAAATTAGGGGCTCTATCAGGGCCATAAAATTACTTTTCAATTAGGAATTGATTGTGACTGTGACTGTGGCAACTTTAACATTTGAAAGGATACTATGGCAAAGTTATTGCTTTCCTTATTCAAACTGATTTTTTTTTCATGAATATATGGTTGACCTGAAGAATGAAAGCTATACAACTTTGAAAATTATGAGCTATATGACTGCTTATCGACACTAGGGGTGTGACAATACACTTAGCTCATGAGATGAGACAAAATACAGATACTTGGTTCACTAGAACAAGACAATATCTTAATAGATTTTTTAAGAAATTTTCAATGACAAAATATTTGTCTTTTAATTACAAAAAGTAAAACATTGCAGTTGCATTTTGAAATAGTTTAACTTATCTAGGGCTGTAACTAATGATTATTTTGGTAATCAAGTAATCTACTGATTATTTTGACAATTGAGTAATCTGATATTTTTTAGTAACACAAATAGTCCTAAGTGAAAACCAGGCTTTAGTATGACTTTATATATATAAACTAACGATGAGGCAATAATAATTGGCCTCAAATAAAGTATCAAAACCAAGTAATTACATGGTTTTATTGAACAACACTGTTAAAATGCATAATGTAATATGCCTATACATAATATGAACATAACTACATTTTATGTATTATAACAAATACCTGCAGAGGGCGCCAACGGCCTGGTGACGTTTCACTTTACAGCATGATTAAACAATGTTTAAATCCATTAAATTTGAATATTTGGCCACATGCAAACTCCGAAACTTTTATTTTGAAATTGCGAAAAATCCCAGTAAATTTGTTCTGGCAATCATATCGTTCTTATAGAGATTACATGATTACTCTGTGCTGTTAACAAAGCTCCGCTGCTTTTAATGAGTTTTTCTATGTAAATATGCGCTAGATGGACATCTTTGAACATTGCGCCTCGCAGCTTTTTCAACGTGTCGCACTTCTCATCAGGGCTGCGCCGCCTGCGCGTCTTGTGTTTATAAGAGCAAAAAAATTCTGATTGGCTAGTAATGTTAGTTTGGTTGAGAGTGAAAGCTGTGCTCCTCTCATACAATTGGTAGGCGAACTCATGGACTCAAAATTGATATCAACAAGTGTTTTTTTTGTTTGTTTTTTTTATAAATGTAGGGTTATTTTTTTCCCAGCCAAACGCTGCACGCCGGAGATCCGGCATGGTGCCGGAGAACTTTAAGCCCTGTATTATTGTTGATTATTGCTCTTGATATTGTAACAGCCTAATTATGAAATGTTTTGGGTTTGGGGAAACAACATCATATTCCTGACAAAAAAGCTAAGACCTGTTCATGAATTACTTTATTACGTTTTATGCATTAGAAAATCAAGATTAGAAAATCATTGCTTATTTTAGTAGCATGAAAAACAAAACGTCATTTAAACTGGGAATAAAGCGAGCAAAGTACGTTCTCCATCACTGAAGCGGTCCATGACTTAAAGGTCCCATGGCATGAAAATTTCACTTTATGAGGTTTTTTAACATTAATATGAGTTCCCCTAGCCTGCCTATGGCCCCCAGTGGCTAGAAATGGAGCACGAGTTATGTACTCATGCAATAACTCATGTTATAATCACTGAAGCGGTCTACACTGCAAAATTAATGTCTTACTTCCACTGCATCTGCACTTTGCTTGTTTGTGATGAGAGAATTGGTGCAAGTACAGATTCAGAATTCCGTCAGTTTTCAGCAGTGACTCATCTTGACACCTCTGATTGGTCATTGCATTCATAAGCTGAACAGAAATGTGCGTGACTGGTTATACTCAAAACTGCAAATTTTTTTTAAAGAAATCTGATGCAACGTGAGCAGATCTAAATCTAATGTCACAATCAACACTTTACATTCATTTTCACATTTCATTTAAATCATGACAGCCATAATTAAAAAAATTTGCACCCTTATCTTTGCTCCCATTAATTTCTGACCAGTGTTACAGGAAAGCCGTCTGTGCTTTTTCATGTGTAAAGTTCTTAAAAGCCAAAAAAAAGAAACAGCTATGAGACTTTAATTACAAATCTGAGCGTGGGAGGCCCATGCAGGTTTCCACCTGGTCTGTGAGACTGTGATAATTCTCCCTGAAAGTCCTGAAAAACATTTATTTTGACGGGGAAGGCAAAGTACAGAAACAAACAGGCCTAAAAAAACAGGTGCTCCAGCCCATCCGAGGGAAAACTGAAAGTGGGTCAGAACATATGAAAGTAGACAAAAAAAAACAACACACCGTCTAACCTGGATAACAGTTTCCAGCGTAATTTATTAATGCTGTAAAGCAAGAGCACGGAGATGCAGGAATGAAGTTGTTACTTACTTTGCTTAATCAGTCTCTTGTCTGCCACTATGATGTTTTCTGCATCGACGACGATGACTTTTCCATCACGAGGCCCGACTGCAAAGTTGTCAAAGCTCACGTCTAGGAGGTAAAGGGCAAAGTCAAAGTCGTTGTTGGTCAGCTGCTCGGCGATGTCCATCAGCTGCTTGGCCAGATCCACTCTTTTCTCCCAGGGTGCATTGTAGAAGCTCCAGAGCTCCTCGCCCACGTAATTCACCGCCACCATCCGGCCGCAGGCCCCCAGGTATTTGGCGAATGGCCAGCCCTCATCAGAGGGAAAACTCTGCAGAGATGAAACATGAGGAGAGAGTCAAGGTAAGATAAGTTCTCCATTCACACACACACCACGTCCTCTCAAATTTGGAGCAAAAAATGCCAATTAAGACACAGACAAACTGCACAATCATTAGCTTGGAGCAAAGCAGCTGTACCAAACTTTTCTTAAGTGCTGCGGATATTCGATAGCCCCATTTTAAATCGAGTCATTAAATATGGATAAGTGACCATTAAACTTTAATCTTAGAGATTCAAATAATTTAGAGGACAAAACACAGCATTCAGTAACCAGTCGGAGCCTCCAACATCTGGCTTCTGTGGTCCGAGCTGGAGAGGCTGAATCATGCAGTGGAGGGGATGTTTCCTGCTCTTCACGACATAGGCATGGTTTCTTGCGGACTTCGGCAAAGCGAATCGGTCATATAAATAACATTTTACCGGCTTACACTCTTAAATGTCATAAATCTGATAACTGCAGGAGGCAGTGTCCAATCTGTTACACCCGTCCTGTCCTTGAGTCTTTTAGGGGTCACGAGTGAATCAAGTGGAGACAAAACCTACAACAAGATCTGTATTTTCCTCTTGCCTTGACCAGTTCTAATGCTCATAATGATACTGGCAAAATCAATCATTTCCTTTGACACCGTAATCACAATCATTAATGTAGATTAATGGAATTTTTATTAAAAATGCCATTTTGCATGAGGAATCTGACATTTGTGTAGCTACACATCCAAAACAGACAGTTTTTGAAAGTATTTATCATTATTTTTTCAGTAAATTAAGACTAAATGGTGAACTTCACACTGGCTCTCAGAGCAGCATCAAAACAATTAAATTTTTTAAAAATAAATTATAAACAACCAAAGCCACAATACACTATTATAATTAGGGTTGGGGCGATAGACGAAGCCATCGTCCATGGCTGATAGACATCACGATGTTGAGCTGGCATCGCGATCCCCATCCATTTTGAATGCGCGATCGCTTTTTAGTTTCACTTTCGAGATTCGCGATCGCACGTACTCGGTTTATACTATGAAGTGGCAGTACTTACCACACATTTTACAAGATTAGATGTTTGTCAGTGGTGCTCAGGATCTGACAATCATTCACCATCGTCCTCAGTCATCTCCCCTTACTCTGTTTATGTGGTAAGTGAAATGTTATGTACTGTAATGTAACAGTCAACCATTTGCAATCGTTATTCGTTTTCCGTTTGTTTTTCCGTGCCTTTCTAAATACGGATTATTTCTAAATATCGTCCATCGCAATGTTTCACTTTACACATCGTCCAATTTGGTAGGTATCGCCCAACCCTAATTATAATCACAACTTTTTGAGCTCTACAGTTGAGTGTGAGCTCTGGATTCTCACAAATGCTCCTATTATAAACAAAGCTGTCCACACTGCAGAATAAATCTGTTTTATATGCTTTGTTGATTTGAAAAGGGGAATTCTAGGTTTTTTCACGTTTCTTGCTTATAGTGTATGTTGGGTATAAAACATTCACACTGCATCTGAGTGACGCGACATTTAGAGAATGCTAAATAGTTGGAAATTACCAAAAATTATTTTTGTAAATTATAATATAAATAAATAAATTACTTTCAGGCTGTCTGGCAATGCATCTTCAGCACTCTTCTACACGTTGTGTGCCAGAACAACAAAAGTGAAAAAAAAAAAAAAAAAACTCAACAGGGATATATCTAAATGGAATACTGTAACCAGCATAACGGTAATGGTTACCTTGGTAATTATTTAGCTTTACTAAAACTACATTTTGGTTTTAGGAATTAGACTGAATATTGAATTAAATTATTAGGCACTTACAGAGTAACTGCTCGGTCTGTGACAAATGAGTCAAATACAGAAGGGAACATTGTGTCTCTAGATTTTTTTTTTACCTCTGGGAACACTTCATCATGAAGTTTCATTCTCTGAAAGTGTCAAATGTCTGTGGAAGGCCACATCCTGTGTGAGAGTGAGGATTTGTTCCTGGAAAAAAGCTTCACTGTGCAGAAAGTGGTTGCCCCTACATTCTGTTGTAGAACTTTATAAATAATAGATGACCACCAAAAAATTCCAATAACTCCCACCGACACTGACCAAAAAAAAAAAAAAAGCCATTATAGAGAAATTTTATAGGGAAAACTGCACGTTTACTTCACTTTTTTTATTTTAATATTTAAAAAAAAATTAATGATTAAATGTACTAAATTTACATTCTATAATAATTTCTAGCATTTTGCAAATCAAAAATATGACATCTTTCAACTCCAGTATACATTCCATATAAAAATAAATGAAAGGGCTCTTTCTGGTTTAGGAAACTTAACCTCATTTTGTCAGAGAAACATGCACAGCCAGCTCATGGCTATTTTGCAGAAACCGTGTAGTTGCACTTCAAACCCTATTTTACTTGTACTAAACATTCTCTGCTTACATTTTGCATGACATTGTCAAACATCACTGTGTCAATACCCTGTGTCCTGTTCTGCTATCAAATTTCCAAGGATTTGCATCATTACCAAACGTGAAGGAAAACGAAATCCATATACAGTTATACACTATACTAAATTTAAACGAAACCAGGTTTTGACATAAAACCGTTCCAAGAAATTCAGTTAAATAAAACAGCACCCCACACTACAAACCTGTTGAGCTGCAGTTGGCCGCTTAACACGGTCCGGAAGCAAGCTTTTTCTTCCTCCTCCTCTTTTTTTTTCCAACTTGAAGTGCTGTTCTTGCTATAATTGAAACTCTGACTAACATTTAACTCTACATCCTTACCCACAGAGCTCTGCCTTTGGTCAAGGACTCTGGAAGATGACAATGCACATAACCTTCAAAAGTGTATTAAATCATTTCTATGCAATGGTGAAGTGCATCTCTTTACCAAGGGAGGTCAAAGAGATCTTCAATTCACAAGCATGCTATTACAGCATGTGAATCAACAAACATAGCTGTAAACCGCTTAAAATTACCAATATGAAAAAGCTGCAAACACATTCAAGAGCAAATTAAATCAGAGGTGATTGTCTGTCAACTTTTGTCAGCTGAAGTCTCAGCTTTCAGAAGCAATAAAATCAGACTAATTTTATCACAGAGTGTGGTCAGATTGGTAATGCATGGAATTGGTGACAAACACAAGCAACGCGTGCAAGAGCGAGCAGACATAACTGTTTCAGGGAGGTTAGTCATTTGTTTTTCCGAGCCAGTGGAAATTCTAGCCCATAAAGAATAGGAACTTGTTTGCACTCGACCCTTTCATACATGACAACAATGGCCAAACGGCTGCGTGATGCACAAAATAAGTGGTTGGAGGCAGGTGAAAGGTTTGTTTTAATAAAAGCACCATCAACACCACATAATGACAGACGGCCAGGTGCTAGTCATGTATATCTTACAAATACCCTTCAAATCTAAACTGCTAACGGGTTAGGTCTGTGCATTATAGCATTAAAAATATAAAATGAAATGGTCGACCATCTGGTTATGTCGAGGTACCAATTCAGTATCAATACCAAGGGTCGATGCTAAAACATCAATCCAACCCTAGTTAGTGTAGTGGCAGTTTAATGAGATCTGGCCATGAAACCCAAAGCCTGGTTCCAACCTTGATAGGGCCAATTCCAGAAACAGAGTTTGTGGGATTGCCAATCGCCAAGAGACTCGGTAGCTTCAGAAAGACTGTTCTTGTAATATTTGCACTAAAGTTTCTTTAAATACAAACACATCTACTTGACAACTAATAAAGAACGGCAACTTCCATTTGGGTGGCGGAGCTCCCAAGTCTACAGTTTGCTCACACTCTCCACAATTATAGAGTCTGTCAAACTGCTGCTGAAGTGTGAGGAGGGAATATCAACTCTGCACAGATGGCTGTGCTCTAAGTGACAAACTGCAAAAGAATACAGCAGTGCTATTTTGAAAATATGGGTATGTTGGAGCCGGAATACAGCATACTGATGCTCATGTGGGTAATTATACAGTGGGTACGGAAAGTATTCAGACCCCCTTAAATTTTTCGCAAGACTAGTGTGATAAAATCACTAACCTTGTACTTGCAAAACTCTGTAACTTTCACCCACAGGAACTATAATGGTAATGTAAAATCATCTGCCTAGCACTGAAAAGACTGTGTAGACAACTTTATAGCTCAAGTAGCACATTTACAGAAGAATATAGGCCCTTTAGCAAATTTTTTTTTTTTAAAGGCAGCGTGTTTCTGCTTTTAAATCCTCCACAATGTCTTGCCCCATTACTTAAAGGGGTCATATGATGCGATTAAAATTTTTCCTTTCTCTTTGAAGTGTTACAAGCTCTTGGTGCATAAAGAAGATCTGTTTAGTTGCAAAGACTTAAGTCTCAAATCCAAAGAGATCTTGTTTATCAAAGTTAAGAGTCAACCACGCCTACCTAAAACGGCTCATTCTAACACGCCCCCACATGTCTACGTCACGATGTGGGAAGATTTGCATAACGCCGCCCAAATGTTCACGCAAAGAAAGAAGGCGTAATTTTTATTCTCGCTGTAGTATTGTTGTTGCCGCCGCCGCCATGTC